TTTCGTCCTAGGAAGTGGAGAGACAGCCATTAAGTAAAAAGCCACGTGAATTGGAAATCAAATTTGCATGGTAGAAGAGGGAGATAGGATATGAGAGGGGGAAAAAAAGGATATAACTGAATACCTTAATTGACGGCATTAATAATGGGGTGAGTGAATTTTAAGGGCGATTATATAAATTATTAAAACAATTAAGGTATTTATTGAAAACTGAAAAACTTTGAGAAAAATGATAAATAAGTCCTTATTATAGTATATATATGAAAAACTTCCCAATAGGAATTACTGGAAAAATTATTTCAAAACTATGTTCGGAAATTGTTGAACTTTTAATAAGACACCTATTTAAAGGTGACATGTCTCCTCTTTATACGTTCGTGGGACCCACATGACCACTAACTAATTTTTTTTTTTTGCCATTTAACTAATTCAGGCTATTTGTGGGCTTGTGGCTTTTACCCAGAGATAGTGGACTTGGGCCTGACGTTAAAGTCGGATCGTTGACACATCAGAGCAGAAAGCCCAATATTTAGTGGGTTGAGCTATCACATTATAGCCTTTGCCCAACTTCATCGAAACCCTACTATAAACTTTCTAGGGTTTTAATGTGCTCTATTCTGATACAGCAGCAGCAACAGATAGCTGACAACAACAAAGATACTTCTCCGCCAAAGGTGAACAACTCCCTCCTTATTTTCTCCCTATCGTTATATGCAAACACTAAAATCATGAGAAATGTATTATTTTAACTATTAGATTTAGCGCAGCAGGTGAATAATTGGAGCAGAGAAGAAGAAATAGATGCAGGTGAAGTAGCCGCTCCGGTGGATGCAAGCGCAGAGAATAAAATTCACAACGATGTTATGCTTTTCAATCGCTGGACCTACGACGATGTTCGGGTATCTTCCATTTCTCTTCATTCCTTTTAAATAACTCATTTTTTTCATGGTGACATATTTATTGATGCTAAAAACTCCTTCCTTTTCCTAGAATCAGCTAAATGTAATGTACTATTTTTTAAATTTTATTTATACAAGGAAAATTACAACGTATAGCACCTGAGTATCTAAAGTTTTAGCTTTTAATAAATCAAACCAATCTAGTTGATGTAGCTTGATAAATAACTGATTACTTCAACTCAACTAATAATACTAATGAGCCAGATGCGAGGCCAACAACAATTATACTATGTTGCTCCATTTAGCACTAGATGTTTTCTGCATAATTTCTGCTTGTATATAGATATCTCTAACAAGACTGGAAGATTCGTCGTAAATATTGGTGTCACTTACCTATGTACATCTTTCTCTTCCACTTTGCCATATATTGTTTAATCTTCACTAATCCATGAGATTGTAAGTCTTTTCGGACAGCGCACTTCCATGTGATTTTAGGTTTACTCGTCCACTTTTAGATGACGTTCAATCAGCAAGGTTTCACTCCTATTGACTGTTACCAGATAGACAAATAAGCTAACTCTCGGGTGAGGGGGGAGATTAGGAGGGCAATATTATGTGCTTTACTGTTTAGTTTCTTATTCCATGAAATAGAAGAAGGAAAAGTAAGTAGGTGTTGCTATTCAGTAAAAGTGAGTAATTCTTTCTCAACAACATTCTGGAAGTGGAGAACATTGTGTTAGAGTTATAAATTTAAAAACCAACACATACACTGGAGACAAATAGAAAATGAAGAGGGTTTACTAATACCAAGGTGATTGTTACTTCTGTTTCTACCTTTTTTATGTGAGTATTATTCTTAAGTTCTTGTATTGGAGAGGCTAGAACTTATCTTGAATATACAATTTGAAAGATTTCTCTGTAACTATGATCTCACTTTTTGGTGAAGATCAATGTCATATCTGTTGAGGATTACATCACAGCAACTACTTCTAAGCATCCAGTTTATATGCCACACACAGCTGGTAGATACCAGGATAAGCGTTTCAGGAAGGCCCAGTGCCCAATTGTTGAGAGGCTCACTAACTCTCTTATGATGCATGAACGGAACAACGGGAAGAAGCTAATGGTTGTATGCATCATCAAGCATGCAATGGAGATCATTCATTTGTTGACTGACTAGAACCCAATTCAAGTCATTGTTGATGTTATCATCAACAGGTGCAGGTGCGCACTAATGATCAGTGCTTAATTAATCCAAATATTCTTTAATCTTTATTTTATTTCAACTGGGGTAACAATGGACCAATCTTAGTATCAAATGTTGTTTCAATATTTGCAGATATTGGTTTGCTCATCTATATTTGCAAATACTGAACATTGAGTATCCAAAATGCTGGTGGATCATTTGAAATGCTAGTTTGACAAGTATATCTCAAATAAAATAATAATTTTTTCTCACATATCTTCAATTTTTCAAATATTTTTGTCTAAGTGGAGTTCATGCCTACCATATATGTCTCATTTATAGCTTTGTCTTCTGCATTTGATCATCTAGTGGGCCAAGGGAAGATGCAACTCGTATTGGTTCGGCTGGTGTTGTGAGGCGTCAGGCTGTTGATATTTCTCCACTTCGCCGTATTAACCAGGTAATTTATTTGCTGATAACTGGTGCACGTGAGAGTGCTTTCCGGAACATCAAGACCATAGTTGAGTGCCTTGCAGATGAACTCATCAATGCTGCCAAGGGTTCTTCAAATAGGTAAAATGCTTGAGATTTTGAGTGTTCTCTGATCTTAGAAAATTATAGATATATTCCAAATGTACTGCTTCGTTGTAAAATTGTATAAACTAGATTGGTGAACCTTTTTTTTCAAATCAATTTTTTTGGATATGTGCGACTTTATTGCTTACGGCTATTGATGATTTTTGTTTCCGCAGCTATGCCATTAAGAAGAAGGATGAGATTGAAAGAGTTTCTAAGGCCAACCATTGAGAGGTCAATGGATCAGTATTTACAATATAGTTTTGGGTTATGATGTTTTCTCATTTCTATTTTCGTTTAGCACTATAGCTTGTCATGGAAATGAAAGTGGATCTGAGTAGCGCTACAGCTGTCAGGGAGTGTGAGGTACTTGCCTTTGGGATCCCACTAGGTGCAGAGTTTCCAAAGTCAAGTCCTCTTCTGTTGCTACTATGATGTACTTGTAGCCATGAAAGTGCATCAGAGGACCTGTTCCATTTACAAGTTATGTCTAGCTCATGCTTGACCTTGTTCAGATCCTCTGTTAGGACTTTCACATGTTCATCCCTCTTATATAGCTCATCTTTTACCTTTCCTAAATCCTTTTCTAATGTGAGTTATGTGACACTAGCTATTTCTTTACCTATTCCTAACTTCAATTTCAGATTATCATATCTAAGTTCTAAGATAGTTGTGTCAAGTGCATGAACCTGGTTCTTCAAAATAGTATTTTTATTTTCAGTTTCACAAGCCCTAAGTTCTAGGTTTTTGCACTTTGCTTTCAAAATGACACACTCATTTGACAACTGTTCTTTTTCACAACTTATATTCTTAGATTCATCAATTAATGTTAGCAACAATTCTGATAATCTATCTTTAGAAAGAAACTTAATTTTATCCTTTAGGTCTAGAAAACTTATCTCGGGTTCTTCTTCATATTCTTGAATTGCTATAAGAGCTCGTTCATCATCATCATCATCATCAATGTCCTCATCTAAATTATCTTCCTCAGCAGCAACCATTGCTTTATATGGCCCTTTGTTGTATTTCTTCTTATCATGAACTTGTTCCTTCTTTCTGTTTCTTCTTTTATATCTCTCCATTTTCCACTCAACTTCCCACATAGGACAGCTCTTGATCATATGGTTCTTTTTACCATATTTGAAGCATCCATCAGTCACCTCCAAGTGATCTCTTCTCATCTCCTTCCACAATAAATACTAGTGATCATTGGATAGTGGTGGCCTAGTGGTGGGCTCACAATGTCATGAAAATCAGCCCAACATGATGATGTGATGTATCAATAAATGGTATCAAAGATTGAGATATGTTATGCAAAGGAATGTGTATGACTGAGTATGTAATTGCAATGTAAACAAATAACTCAACAGCAGGGATGACCTCAGTGGGTCCCAACAGGATAAGCATATAGCCTAGACATGGTTTCTATCATGGATCACAACCCAATTACTATAGCAAGTAGAGATTTCATAGATACAAATAAGATTAGGTAACTACATAATACCACAGAAATAACCGAGTCACAATTCACACAGTGCACACACATACGCTCGTCACCTAGCATGTGTATCACCTCAACACCAAACACATATCATGTATCTTCAGGGGTTCATACCCTCAACACCAAGTTTAGAAATGTTACTTACCTCAAAAAAACCAAATCCAACACCGAGAAAGCCAAACGATGCCCCAAAAATGCCATCCCGCGCGTACCGACCTCTGAACGGCTCGAAACTAGTCAAAGCAACTCGAATACATAAAATAATGCCTAAGGAAACAATTCCAAATGATAAAGGTCGAATCATTAATCAAAACTCCAAAGTCAACCAAAAAGTCAAACCTAAGCATGCACATCGGAACCCAACAAAACTCACAAAATCCATCAACCCATTTAATTACGAGTCCAAGCATACCAGTTTCACTCAAATTCGACTCTGAATCGATATTCAAAACTCAAGAATTCACTCTATGAAACTTTAGTCAAAACCTCCCAACTTTCTCTTTTGAAATCATCAACCAAATGCTAAAAATAAAGATAGATTCATGAAATATAAATAAAACCGAGTAGAGAACACTTACCCCAATCCATATGGTGAAAATCGCTTCAATCCGAGCTCCATAGCTCCAAATATGCAAAAAGGGCCGAAACCTCCGAAATAGAGTAATATATAATCACAGGGCAAATTAATGAACCGCAATCCCGGAACAACCTTCACAATCGTGATGAATAACCTACACTGCCTCCACGAATATGCTACGCAATCGCGAACCTGGTCATGCGAACGCGAATCACACAGGCGCCCACACTCCGCGACCGTGTTCCCTAATACGTGAACGCTATGAAGAAGCTCTCAGCTCAGCCCTATGCAAACGCGATGCCCAATCTCCAGAAACAAACGCGAAAATCTACTCGCCAACGCGAAGAAAGAACTACTCAACTCCAGATTTTTCATCTACGCGATCACACCTCTAACTTCGCGATCGCAAAGAAAACTTGGTGCACCTAACACCAGTAGGAACCAGCAAGGCCAAATTGAAAGAAAATGATCTGAAATACATCTACAACTCACCCGAGCCCCTCGGGACCCTGTCCGAATATACCAACAAGTCCCATAACCTAACACGGACCTACTTAAGGTCTCAAATCACGCATAACAATATCGAAATGACGAATCACACTTCAAATCAAACCTAAATGAACTTTGAACTTTCAACTTCCAAAAACTCGCGTCGAAACATATCAAATCAACCCGAAATGAACTCAAATTTTGCACACAAGTCCCAAATGACATGGTGAAGCTATTCTAATTCCCGAAATCATAATCCGAATCTGATATCCTCAAAGCCAACTCTCGGTTAAACTTATGAACTTTCCAAGCCTTCAAATTTCTAACTTTCGCCAATTAGCGCCGAAACTTTCTAAACTTATCAAAATGCAAATCCGAGCATACACCCAAGTCCAAAATCACCATCCGGACCTAACTAACCATCAAAACTCCATTCCGGGGTCAAATACATAAAAGTTAAACTTGATCAACTCTTCCAACTTAAAGCTTCAAACATGAAATTCTTTCTTCCAAATCACTTTTGAGTAACCTGAAAATCAAAATCGACGATTCATACAGTCATAATACATTATACGGCTCATGCCCTCAAACTATCGAGCGAAGGGAAAAATGCTCAAAATGACCTGTCGGGTCGTTACTACTATAATTATAATATAATATTATATCAGATTTTTAGTTTAGAGTTGTGATTAAAATTTGAAGAAGATGAAGATCATAATTATATCATAATTTTTCAGAAATGTATCGCGGTTTGTATCACAAATGTATGATAATTGTATTAGTATTGTATCATTTATCATTTTAGGTATTAATGTATCAGATACTCATACAAGTTAGATACAATTGTGATACAAGTATGATATATTTATGATACAATTAAGTTTAAGGTATTGATGTATAAGATACAATTATAATACAGTTATCATAAAATTTTCTGCAACTTCTTCTTCGAGTTTCAATCTGAATTTTTACCTAAACAAACTCTATACTTAACCAATCTCCCTCAAAATTGAGATGTAAACTCCAAAGGATATTCTCAATCACTTCCAAAAACACCCTATCCAAAATATCGAATTCAAAGCTTTAAAATTTTTTAATTTAATGTTTAGCAGCCATATTAATTTAAATTAATCAACTACTTATTTTTCTCATTAATGAAATATAGTACAGTAAACCTTATATGTGTTGATGAGTGCTAAACATTATGTATAATTTTCGTCGTAGGAAGTGGAGAGACTACCATTAAGTGAAAAGCCACATGAATTGGCAATCAAATTTGCATGGTAGAAGAGGGAGATAGGAGATGAGAAAATAAAAAAGAAAGGATATAACTGAATACCTTAATTGAACGAATTAATAATGGGGTGAGTGACTTTTAAGGACGATTATATAAATTATTAAAACAATTAAGGTATTTATTGAAATCTGAAAAACTTTGAGAAAAATGGTAAATAAGTCCTTATTATAGTATATATATGAAAATATTCCCAATAGGAATTACTGAAAAAATTATTTCAAAGCTATGTTCGGAAATTGTTGAACTTTTAATAAGGCACCTATTTAAAGCTGACATGTCTCCTCTTTATACGTTCGTGGGACCCACGGGATCACTAACTAATATTTATTGCCATTTAACTAATTCAGGCTATTTCTGGGCTTGTGGCTTTTACCCAGAGATAGTGAACTTGGGCCTGGCGATAAAGTCGGATCGTAGACACAGCAGAGCAGAAAGCCCAATATTTAGTGGGTTGAGCTATCGCATTTTAGCCTTTGCCCAACTTCATTGAAACACTACTATAAATTTTCTAGGGATTTAACGCACTCCATTCTCTGATACAGCAGTAGCAACAGACAACAGCAAAGACACTTCGACGCCGAAGGTGAACAACTCCCTCCTTATTTTCTCTCTATCGTTATATGCAAACACAAAAATCATGAGAAAAGCATTGTTTTAACTATTAGATTTAGTGCAGCAGGTTAATAATCGGAGCAGAGAAGAAGAAATAGATGCAGGTGTAGTAGCCGCTCCGGTGGATGCAAGCGCAGAGAATAAAATTTACTGCGATGTTATGCTTTTCAATTGCTGGACCTACGACGATGTTCAGGTATCTTCCATTTCTCTTCATTCCTATAACTCGTTTTTTTCAAAGTGACATATTTATTGCTGCTAAAAACTCCTTCCTTTTCCTAGAATCAACTGAATGTAAGGTACTATTTTTTAAATTTTATTTATATAAGGAAAATATCAACTTATAGCACTTGAGTATCTAAAGTTTTAGCTTTTAATAAATCAAACCAATCTAGTTGATGTAGCTTGGTAAATAATTGATTATTTCAACTCAACTAATAATATTAAATAATTGGTAAAGATTTCACTATAACTATGATCTCACTTTTTGGTGAAGATCAATGACATCTCTGTTGAGGATTACATCACAGCAATTGCTTCCAAGCATCCAGTTTATATGCAACACACAGCTGGTAGATACCAGGCTAAGCGTTTCACGAAGGCCCAGAGCCCAATTGTTGAGAGGCTCACCAACTCTCTTATGATGCATGGACGGAACAACGGGAAGAAGCTAATGGTTGTCCGCATCATCAAGCATGTAATGGAGATCATTCATTTGTTGACTAACAAGAACCCAATTTGTCACGACCCCAAATCCACTAGTAGTGATGGCACCTAGCCCAACCCGCTAGGTAAGCCAACCAGTAACTATCCAATTCTAATGATATTAATAGGACAAATAAACGAAGGTAATTTAATTAATTTATACATTTCCCAAGGACTGGTAGTACAAATCATGAGCTTCTAAGAATAAAGTTTACAAAGCTGAAATGAAATAAATACATAGTCTGTTTGAAAAGTATATAAACAAGGTTTTATAGATCTAAGGCTACAACGAACAAGAGGCAGCTGCAACCGGGACACATGTACATCTTCAATCCAGCTCCCATCTAACACAGCAATATCAGCAGCCAACATCTGCATATAAGGTGCAGAAGTGTAGTATGAGTACAACCGACCCTATGTACTCAGTAAGTAACAAACCTAACCTTAGGTTGAAAGTTGTAACGACCAAACACAAGGTCGGGTACGATACCAATATTCCACAATAGTTCATAACAACAAAACACAGGTAATAAAAGAGGTATCTCAGTGAAACTCAAATCTTTTACCGAATATGCCAAAACACGAGTAAGTTTGAAAACTGTGATTCTTCCCAAAAATCCTTTCAACAATAAGTAAAATGTTTCATTTTCAGATAGCATAAGGAAAGTACGTCTCTACGCCTATATGTCAAGATACAGGTAAAATCATAAATGTCCCAAAATTGGGTAGCAAAAAGAAATGCATCTTTATGCATGTATCTCAAGTACGCATATCAAATGCAATGCATCTCGATGATGAGCTCGTATACTCACACTCTCATAGTACTCAATCTCATTGTCCCGCATCCTCTCTCACTATGCTCAATGCTCAGCACACTCAATCACTAAGCGTTGTACAATACCCGCTGCGGCGTGCAGCCCGATCCACATATTTATAGTCGATTGCGCTCACTGGGGGTGTGCAGACTGCGGAGGAGCTCCTTTCAGCCCAAGCACTATAATCCGCACGGACAACTCACGTGCTGCACGGGCAACTCACGTGCCATAATATCAATATCTAGATCCGCACGGACAACTCACGTGCTATATTATCAAAATCTGGATCCGCATGGACAACTCACGTGCTGTACAGACAACTCACGTGCTACAGTATCAATATCCTCAAAAACAGGCCCACCGGCCTCACTCAGTCATCAATCTCTCCAATATCACTCACGAGCTCACAATGTCATGAAACTAGCCCGACAATAATGATATGATATATCAATAAATAACAACTGAGACTGAGATATGATATGAATGCATGAATATTACTGAGTACGATATATCAATGAAATCAGTGAGATGGCAGCAAGAAACGACCACTATGGGTCCTAACAATATCAGCATAAAGCCTAAACATGATATTTAGTATGATTGACAGTTCAGTTACATTATCACATGGTGATAACATAGATATCAACAAAATAGGGCCACTATATAGTGCCATGGAAATAACGGAGTCATAATTCATAGGGTGCACGCCCACATGCCCGTCACCTAGCATGTGCATCACCTCAATACCAATCACATAACATATATTACGGGGTTTCATACCCTCAGCACTAAGTTTAGAAGAGTTACTTACCTCGAACGTGCCAATACCAATGCCAAGAAAGCCAAGCGGTGCTTCAAAGATTCCATCACGCGCGTAGAGACCTCCGGACGGCTCAAAACTAACCAAAAGCAACTCAAATACATCAAATAAAGTCCAAGGAAATAATTCCAAATGATAAAGATTGAATCTAATCAAAACCCAAAACCGGCCAAAAATAACACCCCGGGCCCGCGCCTCGAAACCCAACAAATCTCACAAAATCGTACAACCCATTCAATTACGAGTCCAACCATACTAGTTTCACTCAAATCCCACTCCAATTCGATGTTCAAAACTCAAAAATTCATATTATGAAACTTTAGGCCAAAACCCCCAATTTCCTCTTTAAATTCACAATCCAATTACCAAAACGAAGGTAGATTCATGAAATATAACCAAAACCGAGTAGAGAACACTTACCCCAATTCATATGGTGACATATGCTTCAAATATCGCCTCAATCCAAGCTTGGAAATGTTAAAATGAAGCCAAAATCGCAAACCCTTGTATTTATCATTCTGCACAGCACTTTCGCACCTACGACACATTAGCCGCTCTTATGCGGCGTCGCTTTTGCGACCGAAATCATGCTTCTGTGGAGAATCACTGGAGCTTGCCTTTGCACCAGCGGTAAAATACCCATATCTGTGCACTCGCAGGTGCGCGCCCAAATGTCGCTTCTGCGCTGCCAACCGCTTCTGCACTCAACTCACCGCATCTGCGCCTTTGCAGATGCGAAGTAATCTCCGCTTCTGCGGAACCCTGCTCCCAGCAATATTTTCGCTCCTGCGATCTCTACGTCGCTCCTGCGACCATCGCACCTGCGCAAACCAGCCGCAGGTGCGGAAACACCTGAACTAGCAATAGCAACATTGGAGAAAATGATCTGAAATCAATCTGAAACACTTCTGAGTCCCTCTAGACCCCGTCCAAACATACCAACAAGTTCCATAACACAATACGGACCTACTCGAGGCCTCAAAACACACATAACAACATCAAAACGACGAATCACACCTCAAATTGAAATCTATGAACTTTGAACTTCAAACTTCCACAACCGATGCCGAAACCTATTAAATAACGTCCGATTGACGTCAAACTTTACACACAAGTCCCAACTGACATAACGAAGCTATTCCAATTCCCGAAATCACAATCCGAATCCAATATCAAAAAGTCCACTCCAGGTCAAACTTTTCAAAAATCCAACTTTCGCCATTTTAAGCCAAATTTTACTACTGACCTCCAAATCACAATTCGGACGCGCTCCTAAGTCCAAAATCACCCAACAGACTTAACGGAACCATCAAAATTCCAATCCGAGGTCAAATGATAAAAAGTCAAACTTGGTCAAGTCTTTCAAATTTAAAGCTCCCTAGTTGAGAACTATTCTTCCAAATCAGTCCCGAATAACCTGAAAACCAAAACCGACAATTCACACAAGTCAAAATACATCATATGGAGCTACTCATGCCCTTAAACTACCGAGCGAAGTGCAAATGCTCAAAATGACTGGTCGGGTCGTTACATTCTCTCCCACTTAAATATACGTTCGTCCTCGAACGTGCCAAGAATTCTTCCCAAAACCATCAAACTGCCGTATAACCTTACCATGCATGTACCCGGGGTGATCCCACGTCACCCGATCCCATATAGGTTCGATAATACAACATAACTAAAATTTCTCAATTCAACCTAGTCCATAAGCCTTAGAATCCAATTTTCCAGCATCCGAAATTTCTAATAAGATCTGAATCTCGCAACCTACACGCTGCATAAGTCTGAACAAACTATACCAAACTGCAACCATCACCCAAGCTACAATCACAGGATATACCACCTAACTCAAATACCCATAGCAAAATCTCCAATCATAGTAACTACTCAGAACAACCCAATCCCGGTAATAAACCTCATACCTAACAAAACCTCATTCTAAAACCTTCGTACACCGCCGATAATGAAAGAACACGCAGAAACTCATAATCATTCATCAAATCAACAAGTCGTGGAGCTCCCTCTCCTTCAACAAGAACTATAGCCAATTCCTAAGCCGACTTCCGATATTATCCTTCAAATATACCGCAATCAAATCCGATAGCACCTATCCTAGATCCAACGACTCCATCTTATCGGATACCAACTACTCTACTGACACGCAACACCCATACTACTCAGAGCCACAAACCATGCAATCCATGAACCAATAAACAACAATCCAAATGTACTCAATCATAAAAATGACTCAATCAAGAGAACCGTCCCGCAAGCTCAACGGGTACCACCACAACGCAATACTAAGAACCCATCACACATCGTAGGACCAAAACACACGAATCTAATGCAAGGGATCATACCTAAACATAACTCCGCTGCAATGCGCAACTCCATCCAAACGCTGATCCATATCATATGCCTCGAGCCACTTTGCGCCTTCGCAGATGCGAAGCAATCGCCGCTTCTGCCGAACCCTGCTCTCAGCAATATTTTCGCTCATGCGACCCCTTCGTTGCTTTTGCGACCATCGCACATGTGCAAACCAGCCGCAAGTGCGGTCACACCAGAACCAGCAATAGCAACATTGAAGAAAATGATTCGAAATCAATTTAAAACACGCCTGAGTCCCTCGGGACTCCGTCCAAACATACCAACAAGTTCCATAACACAATACGGACCTACTCGAGGCCTCAAAACACACATAAAAATATCAAAATGACGAATCACACCTCAAATCTAAATCTATGAACTTTGAACTTCAAACTTCCACAACCGATGTCGAAATCTATCAAATCACGTCCGATTGACGTCAAACTTTGCACATAAGTCCCAAATGATATAATGAAGCTATTCCAATTCCCGGAATCACAATACGAATCCGATATCAAAAAGTCCACTCCCGGTAAATCTTTTCAAAAATCCAACTTTCGCCATTTCAAGCCAAATTCCACTACGGACCTCCAAATCACAATCCAGACGTGCTCCTAAGTCCAAAATCACCCAACGGACCTAACGTAACCACCAACATTCCAATCCGATGTCAAATGCTAAAAAGTCAAATTTGGTCAACTCTTTCTAATTTAAAGCTCCCTAGTTGAGAACCATTTTTCCAAATCGGTCCCGAATAACCTGAAAACCAATGATTCACACAAGTTAAAATATATCATCCGGAGCTACTCATGCCCGTAAACTATCGAGCAAAGTGCAATTACTCAAAACGACCGGACAAGTCGTTATACAATTCAAGTCATTGTTGATGTTGTCATCAATATGTGCGCACTAGTGATCGGTGCTTAATTGATCCAAATGTTCTTTAATCTTTATTTTGTTTCAATTGGGTAACAATGGACCAATCGTAGCATCAAATGTTGTTTCAGTATTTGCAGATATTGGTTTGCCCATCTATATTTGCAAATACTGAACATTGAGTATCCAAAATGCTGGTGGATCATTTGAAATGCTAGTTTGACTAGTATATCTCAAATAAAATAATGATTTTTTCTCACAAATCTTCAATTTTTTAAATATTATTTTCTAAGTGGAGTTCATGCCTACCATATATGTTTCATTGATAGCTTTGTCTTCTCCATTTGATCATCTAGTGGGCCAAGGGAAGATGCAACTCGTATTGGTTCGGCTGGTGTTGTGAGGCATGGGGCTGTTGATATTTCTCCACTTCGCCGTGTTAACCGGGTAATTTATTTGCTGACAATTGGTGCACGTAAGAGTGCTTTCAGGAACATCAAGACCATAGTTGAGTGCCTTGCAGATGAACTCATCAATGCTACCAAGGGTTCTTCAAATAGGTAAAATGATTGAGACTTTGTGTGTTCTCTGATCTTAGATAATTATAGATATATTCCAAACGTACTGCTTCGTTGTAAAATTGTATATACTTGATTGGTGAACCTTTTTTTGTCAAATTGATTTTTTTGTTTAACCAGCTATCTATGCTATTCTATTGTTGCCCTGGTTCATCATGTTCATATTGTATTTTTGAGTTCTTAAATTGGTGTTTGGTTTTCATACTAGTACTATTCGACATGTACTAACATCTCTTTTACCGGGGGCACTGCATCTTTAATGGATGCGGGTGGTTCTACAGCGGAGGATATTGACCCGTGATAGCGGTGCTCATTCTTCCCAGCTGACTTGGTGAGCCACATCTCATTCCGGGGTTGTGCATATTTTGTTTCGTATGTGTTCTCTTGTTTTGAGGTATAGCCAGAGCCTTGTTGCCAGCACTATCATTGTACTCTTTGGTATTTTAGAGGCTCCGTAGACTAAGTGTGGGGTGTGTATGGGTGTTGGAAATGTTAAACTAGTTGTGTTGTGAGTAAATCACTTGTTCCACTTTGAACCATGAAGGTGTGAGTATGTGTGTTTTGAGACTTATTAATGGAGTAACTAATGGTAATGAACTGGTATTGTAGACATGATCACCTTATTGTCTAATTAATAAAAATATGTATTATCCTTATTCATGGATGAGTTTGGGTAGAAGAAAATCTAATAGGCTTGCTCGTCGGGTTCACTTGGTTGAGCGCCGATCGCGCTCTCTGAGTTTGGGGCGTGACAGAATCATACCCCAATTCAAGTCTAATGAACTTTGAAATTTCAAATTTCTACAAACGACGTCAGAACTTATCAAATCAAGTACGACTGACCTCAAATTTTGCACACAAGTCATAAATGACATAACATAACTATTCCAATTTTCAGAATCAGATTCCGACCCCGATATCAAAAGGTCAACCCACTGGTCAAACTTTCCAAAAATTCGACTTTCGCTATTTCAAGCGTAATTCCACAACAGACCTCCAAATAATTTTTCGGACACGCTCCTATGTCCAAAATCCCATACGGAGCTATTGGATTCATCAGAATTCAATTCCGCAGTCTTTTACACATAAGTCAATATCCGATCAACTTTTCTAACTTAAGTTTTTAATTATGAGACTAAGTGTCTCATTTCACTCCGAACTCCTTCCGGACCCGAACCAACTAACCCGGTAAGTCATAAAATAATTGTAAAGCTTAACTTGAGCGGTAAATGGGGAAACGATGTTATAAAACTCAAAATGACTGCCCAGGTCGTTACAATAAAGCTGAAAGGTACAAATTGAAAACACATACTACAATTGAACTAGAATAAAAGACAAACGCTTGGAACTGGTTCTTCTATCTGGTTCATGTAACTTTAGGTTCGTACACTTGAATCACACAAGAATTGCTTGCAAAATGCCTTGCTATTTTGCTCTCAACTCACGCTTAACTTCAGCGTTTGTCCGTACCTATAGAATGAGAACATCCTGCAATATATAGAGTTAATAGAATAGGAAATAACTAGAGTTCTAATGCTACTCTTCCTTGGTGGAAGAGTTCTAATTATCTTCAACTTCTAACTCTTTCCTTATCTTGGATAGAGTTCTCTTCAAGTAAGGAGTCCTGGTCCTTATCAAATATGCAACATTTTCGTTCAGGGATTATCATAAATAACCACTTATACTTATCCCTTTTATGTACATGCCTTTTGCTTGATTCTGCCCGTCACCTGTGTACACTGTCCATGGACCTGATTCATGCATGTGTTCCTTTGTCAATCATCAAAACCAAAACCGCTCAGCCAACATTCAAACAAGCTGCCTTAAATTATTGTTGAACCAAAGCCTTCAATTTTTAGAGTTTAGCCGATGTAGCAGTTCAATAACTATAAGTACTCAATCCAAATCAAAGGCGGATTTAGGCAGATTAAGCAATAGTTATTGGATGCATATTCTGCATATTTTTTTTTTGTTAATCAAAATTTTAATATGCTGCACATATTGCATTTATGGTACATTCTCTATATTAGTTTATTTGTTAATATGTAATTTTGTGTAAGAAACTTGCAGTTGGGGTTGAAAAGTATAGCAAAACATTTGGTAGTATTTTTTCATTTTGTTATCTACTTATTTATATTTTGTTATTGGTTTGTTTTACTAGATTGTATAGATATCAACTTTTGAAAAACTGTTCTTCCATATTTAATGATAAAACAACACCTGCAAGTTCTGTGACTGTCGAGGGTAATCCAGTAGCTACATGTAGAAAAAGGGTTAAAACATGAAATTACTTTCATATTCTATGAGGATTGTAGGATTAGATGTAATTGTAGTTTTGCATTATTTTCAGTAATAAAAGAATCTATTAAAGCCATAATTAAATTGGTAGAACTTAGGGTAGAAATTAAACATACAATAGCAAGAACAAATGCAACTAAATTAAGTATATTTACCATTAAAGAGTAGCAAGCTTTTACACTTGTCAAATAAGATATATTTATTCCTCAAAATTTTGCAACTTGCTTGTCAAAATTTTCAAGATGAACAACAATAACATGAATGTGATTGATATATTCATTTTACTTGTTAGTTTGTAAGATCATAATATAACTTAATTATACTTTTGGATTCATCCAACCTATTCACGTGTGATCATTCAAAATTGATTATTTGTCTAGTTGAATTATCCAAATCCGATTCCGAAGTAAAAATTGCATAGGGTGCCCTATTTGGTCGCCCATTTTTAACTTATACCCGTTTTGTTTTTTCGTTTGCATCCGTGCCCATTTTTTTTTTGTTAAAAGCATTTTTAAAATGCGATTTTTTCATTCTTTAATAAAAGACTATTGACAAAACTGTATACTGCAGGGCAAAATTTCAGCATGTTTTGGTATGAAATTTTAGCAAATGAACTAAATAACTTCTGCATGCATTAGAAAAAACTAATTAGAAAATTACATACTGCAAGACAAAAATTTAAGCATGTTTAGTTTGAAATTTTAGCAAATAAACTAAAAATATTCAGCTTGTTTAGACTGTAGTTTCGGATAAAACTCATGACAAAACTGTAGACTGCATGACAAAATTTCAGCATATTTTGGTACAAAATTTTAGCAAATGAACTAAATAACTTCAGCATGCATTAGCAAAAACTCATTAGAAAATTACATACTGCAAGACAAAAACTTAAGCATGTTTAGTCTGAAATTTTAGCAAATGAACTAAAAAACTTAAGCATGTTTAGTCTGAAGTTTAAGCAAATGAATTAAAAAACTTAAGCATGTTTAGTCTGAAGTTTTAGCAAATGAACTAAATAACTTCAACATGCATTAGCAAAAACTCATTAGAAAATTACATACTGCAAGACAAAAACTTAAGCATGTTTAGTCTGAAGTTTTAGCAAATGAACTAAAAAACTTAAGCATGTTTAGTCTGAAGTTTTAGCAAATGAACTAAATAACTTAAGCATGTTTAGTATGAAGTTTTAGCAAATAAACTAAAAAACTTAAGCATGTTTAGTCTGAAATTTTAGCAAATGAACTAAATAACTTCAGCATGTTTAGACTAAAGTTTTGGATAAAACTCATGACAAAGCTGTAGACTGCAGGATAAATAACTTCAGCATGCATTAGCATGAAGTTTTAGCTTCAAGGTGAAACAACTTCATATAAGTGTGATTCTGAAGATGAATCTGGACAAATTTCTGATTTTTCTGATAAAGCTGCTGAGAGGAGAGGAGGAGATACTTTTTCACGAATGAGGTTGCAGATTACGCGATTAATATGTGATGCAGGTTTTATATCTTTTGTTAGGGGTGTACTTGTCATATTATTACGGATTTTTTGTCAGCTGACTACCAAATCAATAATTTTTAAAAATAGGGTACAAGTTAAAATATAACACAAATATAGGGTACGACTGCAAATTCTCCGATTCCGAATGATTAACTCCGAACATGATAGTCTCCTAAAGACGATAGTGAAAATAAAAGCAAAAGGTAATTGACTTGCAGTAATTGGATTTGGGCCCGACGACAAAGTCGGATCCAGGACATAGGAGCAGAATGCCCAATATTTACTGGGCCGAGCTATCGCATTATAGCTTTTGCCCCCTTCCTCGAAACCCTACTATAAAATTTCTAGGGCTCTAAAACACTCCCTTCTCTGATACATCAGCAGCAGACAGCAGCAAAGACTCTTTCTCCGCCGAAGGTGAGCAACTCTCTTCTTATTCTCTCTCTTTATATACAAACACAAAAATCATGCGAAATGTGCGTTATTTTAACTATTAGATTTAGTGCCGCAGGTGAAGAATCGGAGCAGAGAAGAAAAAATGGACGCAGGTGTAGTGGCTGCCCCAGTAGATGCAAGCGCAGAGAATAAGGTTCACAGTGATGTTATGCTTTTCAATCGCTGGACCTACGACGATGTCCAGGTACCTTAAAAATGCTCATTTTCTTCACAGTCACATGTCTATAGCTGCTAATAACTCTTTCCTTTGTACTTTTTTTATTTTATTTGCACAGGGAAAATTACAGCTTATTGCGCCTGTATATTTTAATTTTGAAATTGGAAAACTAACATAGGTTCAAGCTGGAATATACTTCGTTTTGTGTTATTATTATATGTGGAAAATTGCCTGCTTATAGAGCTTGAGTATCTAAATTTTGATATTTGAAAAAAAAACTAATCTGGTTGATGTAGCTTGATAGGGCCAGGATGAGAAAATCAGCAGTAAGGTAGTAATTTGCCAGATGCAAATGCAGCAAGTTGAATCCCAAGCAAGTCGGGCTGGCAATATGAATCCTCACTATCTACATTCCTCCATTAAGCACTTAAAGTTTTCCACATTTTATACCAAGTATATAAATCTCTAACAGGACCAAGAGACTTCTAAGGATTATTGGACTTATAGTGAACTTACTAACTTGACTAAAACTTTACTTTAGCAAATTGGTATCATCTATATAGATCTTTTTCTTCCGCTGCCATATTTTTCACTAGTTTGCATTGAATCCAGGAGATTGTAAGACTTTTGAGACTACTTACTTCTATGTGAATTTAGGTTTGCATGTCCCCCGTTTAGAATATTTGACTCCCATAGGCTGGTGCCAGATAGCCAAATAAGCTAATTCGGTGGGGAGTGGGATTAGGAGAGCAAATATTATTGGCTTTATTTTTAGTTGGTTATTCCCTGAAATAGAAGGAGAAGTAGGTGTTGCTACTCAGTAAAAGTGTAATTCTTACTCAATAACATCCCGGAAGTGGAGAACGTTGTGTTAGAATTGTAAATGAAAAAAATAATGCAGACAGAGTTAAGTTGACTAACTAATAGTTACTTCTGTTTCTGCCTTTTTTACTCAAGGGTACTATTTTTAATTTTTCTATTAGCAAGGCTGAAACTTTTCTTGAATACAATTTGAAAGCTTTCTCCTTAACCAAGATCTCACTTTTTGGTGAAGATCAATGACATCTCTGTTGAGGATTACATCACAGCAACTGCTTCCAAGCATCCAGTTTACATGCCGCACACAGCTGGCAGATACCAGGCTAAGCGTTTCAGGAAGGCCCAGTGCCCAATTGTTGAGAGGCTCACCAACTCTCTGATGATGCATGGACGGAACAACGGAAAGAAGCTAATGGCTGTCCGTATCATCAAGCATGCAATGGAGATCATTCATTTGTTGACTGACCAGAACCCAATTCAAGTCATTGTTGATGCCGTCATTAACAGGTGCACCCATGCAGATGATCGGCTTTTAATTCATTCATATATTCTTCAATCTTTTATTTTATTTATTTTAAATGGGGGTAACAATGGGCCCATTTTTGCATCAAATGCTTCAGTATTTGCAAATACTGAACTTGGAGTATCCAAAGTGCTGGTGGATCATTTGAAATACTAGTTTGAGGAGTATCTCAAATAAAATAATGATTTTACTCACAAATCTTCAACTTTCTTAAACATCTTTTCCAGGTGTAGTTCATGTCTAAACACAACTTCAGCTTTCAAATACTCTTTTCCAACTTCAACTTCAGATCCTTTTTTTTCAACTTCAACTAAATATTGTTCAAATACCCTACTATTATATCTGTCTCACTGATAGCTTTGTCTTCTCCATTTGATCATATTAGTGGGCCAAGGGAAGATGCAACTCGTATTGGTTCAGCTGGTGTTGTGAGGCGTCAGGCTGTTGATATTTCTCCACTTCGCCGTGTTAACCAGGCGATTTATTTGCTGACAACTGGTGCACGCGAGAGTGCTTTCAGGAACATCAAGACCATAGCTGAGTGCCTTGCAGATGAACTCATAAATGCTGCCAAGGGTTCTTCAAACAGGTAAAAGGTTTGAGATTTTGAATGTCCACTGATCTTAGAAAGTTATTGATATATTTCAGACTTATTGTTTCGTTATAAAATAGTATACTTGATTGGTGCACCTTTTTTTTTCAAATCACTTTCTTTGGTTGTTTTCCAACTTATACTACTGTGGATGGTGTGTTTGTTTCTGCAGCTATGCCATTAAAAAGAAAGATGAGATTGAGAGGGTTGCCAAGGCCAACCGTTGAAGAGGTCGATATTGGAGAACTATTTACAAGACAGTTTTGGGTTATGTTGTTTTCTCATTTCTTTTGTCATGTAGTATTTTAGCCTGTCATGGAAATGAAAGGATCCAATTATCAGCATCTGCTATTCCTTGTTGAGTTAATTTCTTGGATTATTTTACGTGTTTAAACTTGATATGCTTGGAATTGGTATAGGTGTTAAAATTTGAAGTTCCTTTTCTTGGGTTCTTTTTTTAAATTTTTTTTATGTGCTTGGAATTGCTATAGATGTTAAAACATGACGTTCCTTTGGTATTTTTTTGTGCGACTGAGTGCTTGTGGTTCCTGAATGTGGTCGATGCTTTCAGATATTTAACATGATGTCAAGATAATTCCTTGGGAATTTCAAAATCATTGAGCTGAATGAAGCTCGCTTATACAGACATTTTATTAGTTAATCAATTGGTCACTTCTTGCTTCGAAACTTATGTTCATGTTACTCCTGTGCTGTGTTCGTGTTACTCCAGTAGTCATCTCATTCTGGTACTTGGTATGTTTATTGAGGTGAATTGAGGTGTTCTAAAATTAGGTGTTTTACGACATCCATTTGATATGCAGGTATCTATGAATGTATGCTTGTAAATGCCATAACAGTTAAGTTTTGATCCTTGCTATATGCAAATAAGGATTTTGATTCCGCCAAAAGGCAAGTAAACCGTATTCACGATTAATGACATTAACCAAATTTGTTGTCTAATCATTTCAAATTCTGTTATTGGATATGGATCTATCTTTTGTAAAGGACTATTTTAAAAAGCAGAAATGTTTGGTCGAAAGAAGATATTGGATATGTAAAAGGAATGTTGGTACTGAAAGCAAAAATCTTGGAGAAAATCTGTTATTGGATTTACCAATGTTTTAGAAAAGAAAATAGTGCATAAATTGTAGAGGAATGGGTCATCTATCAAGATTAATTATAAGTAGTATTTTATTTGTAAGCAAAGAAAATAAAAGGAGTAATTGTTACCTAACACAAACAAACACAAGAAAGAAATAGCAAAAATGAGATAGAAAGAATCCCACATTAACAATAAAAACGAAGACATGTAAACGACTTTTTACATGCCATTAAGACCAAGTAAACAACCTCAATAAACTCCTACTTGCCTCTTTTTACATTGTTGTTTACATAAACTTCATTTCAATGTTAATCAACTTCCATTCACAGCAGCAGAAAGAAGCAACCGCAGTGAAGAAAATAACCAAATTCAAGGGGAGAAAAAGAAGCAACAATAGAGTTTGTTGGTGTAAAGTCTTCAGGGAAATGGACAGCTAAAGATTAAAGACACAACACAGAAGATAAGAATGTGGCTTGGAACTTTTGAAAGGATGCTACTCGTGCTTAGGATCAAGATGCTAATCTTCTTCGTGGATCAAATACTTGAACGAATTTTGTTACTCGTGTTTCTGCTGATTCACCACTTGCTTTTAGAATCAGAAATCTTCTCTGCAGAACAGAACAAACAGGGGAATTCTATTGTAGCTTTAACATGTAGTAAGAGCAACCAAAGTACTAGTACTAGTGGTGTGACTTGTAACATCACCAGCAATAATCCAAGTCAAATTAGTATTGATGATTCAGTTTCTAGTGAGAAAATGCAAGAACGTTATCTTCTTGAAGATATTTTAGGAGCTGATTTCAGGGGTTATGAAACAGTACTAAATTCTTGTGATGAGGAAATCATACAAGAAAATCAACTATTTGACAACTTATATAAGCCTAGAACAACAACTATGTCGTAGTTTCAAACAAATTGGGGTCGGTTATATGAATCCTCACGGACCTTATTTTTTCATTTAAGTTCATATCAGACTGAAAACAATTTATATAAGCCTGATTTGATAAGTTGCTCAGATCAATTCGATATGAATTCGTGTTCTTCACAACATGAAATGTCATGGGGCTTTGATCAAGGCTTTGGGTTTGCTGAAGAATTATTAGATTTTCCCAAGAACTTGGTTTTGGGTGAGAGTAGCGCAGAGGGATTCACAGAATTTGAGAGAATGAAAGTAGAAAGGCAGATATCAGCATCACTTTATGTTGTGAATGGTGTTCAAGAATACACGGAGACTGTATATGATCCTGCTGAATCTCTTTGGGATCTTTCCCCTTTATGTTCTTTGTTATGCTAAAATTTACAAACATATTATGTTAACATAACTTCTTGTTTTCTGTCAGTTAAGTTGTATATTTCCTTTGTCTTCTTTACGTGAGAATTAGGAGAAAGAGATGAAAGGCATTTTTTTTACAGTACACTAACTATAAAATTTCTCTCTCTAAAAATCTCTCTCCCTTCTCTCTAGATGTCAAACAATTCTGCAGACCCCACTCGACCACCAGACCCACCTGACCAAACAAAGGAGATATCGACAACTCAGCTCCCCCCCCCCACAAAGCTACTAACGATCAGGTAACGGCTAGCCCACCACCGTTAATGTCATCGCCGGAACTACAACTATAGACCCACCACCAAACGAAAACAACCAACCTAAATCATCTGATAACAACACCCAAAAACACACCCAGCTTCTTAATCGTACTTCTTACCCAAAAATCTCGACTAATTTCGATCAACCCCAACCCAAAACCCTACACACAAACGACCTAAATTAAAGTGACCAACAGTACATTCAACCACAAAATAGCAAATAACTACCTGACCCTAACCTCCCTAAACAACAAAATGAGTTTGGTCAAGGGAGTAAGTACATCAACGACAAGTATTTGGTGTCTAAACCAACCTTTGCCGCCACTGTCCAAGCCAAGCTCCAATCTCTTAACAGTGACGCCATGGTTGAGATTCAACATGGCATGCACCTTGGCAAACCGACGATTTTCTTCAAGGCGGAGGATTATTTCGTTAACCTAGCAAAAGTGTGTAGATTCACTATCATTGGTAAGTTCTATAGAGGTAAACCATCCATGGAGAAAATTAGGAAGACTTTTATTAGGCAATTCCAACTCTCTGTTACTGTTAAGATAGCATACTTCGACCCTAAGCATGTTTACCTTGACTTCGCTAATGAAGTTGATTAAAATCACGTCTTTGCTAAGGAATATATTGACATTGGTGATGCCCCTATGAAAATTCTCAAGTGGACTCCGGATTTCAAATCTGAGGAGAAAACATCCATTGTCCCTGTTTGGATCCTAATTCACCAACTTCCCTAGCACCTGTTTAAATGGAAAATTGTATTTAGACTCGTTAGGAAAGTAGGTGTGGCTGTGGCTTCGGACCTAGCAACCTACTCTAAGTCTAGAGGTATGTTGCATTAAAGTTGAAATTGACCTCCTAAAGCGTAGACTTGATCAAATATGGCTAGGTTATAAAAGACTAGATGTATCTGATGATGGAAAGTGGCTTGACATTGAATATGAAAAGGTTCCAAGCTGCTGTGTGTATTGTAAAATGCAAGGTCACTATGACAGCCAATGTAGAAAAAATATCAGAGATGAAAGGATTAAAGCACAGAAGGAAGCTCAACTCAATAAGGAGAAGGACCAAAAAAGAGATAAGCCAAAGGATGATGAATTTCAAATGGTTTCTAAGAAGAAGGCTGCCAAAGTGAGATTTCATAACAACACCTAAAAGAAAATGTTCAACAAGCCCAATGGGTACAACCATGATGAGCAGCGCTTGACTGAAATTCAATCCCAGAACCATCAAGCAGCAAATCAAGATCAGAGAGTTAAGATAAGGACTGACATTGTTATCAATGAACCAGTCGAGGTGCAGAAGACTCCCATGATGGAAGAAGTTCCAGGCAAAGGTAAAAACAAATTAGATGAAGAAACCACTCACAACAACAACCAGAAGATTGGACAAAACATCAACAAGAAGAAGAGGTTCAAAGTTTTAAAAAAAAGAAACAAGACATGAATAGCAATGAAGTCCAACTCCAAAACACAATCCTGGAAAAAGGTCAATCAAGAAGCAAAAGAGCAGATACAATCCACAAACCCTCAGAACAGAAGGCTAGCAACAAGGAAGACGACATTCCACTCCTCTACAATGATCAAAATAGTAGACATTCTTTCTAACGGAATACTACCAATGATAACGACACCAACAAACACACTGAAGATGAAGCCAACAACATAAATGACATCGAATCTAACAACAACAAGAATAATTACCTAATTGATCTAGGAGATGCTCATAACACTTATCTTAAACTTATCAGTGGTACCGGCTTAGAAGAGGATAAAGATAGTGAAGACATGTACATTTCCAACAATATTCACATGGCAGAATCATCTTTTGAGGATGATGGGGAAGAGGATAGCGCGGAAGATGGTGACTATGAGGATGAAATGAGCACTGAAGAATCTGATGAGTTCAAAAATATTGATAGTGAAAGCTTTCAGAATGATGTCCAACCTATAAACCACACTATTGATGATCATGCTGCCCAACTAATTGAAACCTTCAACTCCAATTCTCTAGTGGAGGTAAATGTAAGTTCTGAGATAGATAAAATTATTGAAAGGACTCACTTGTCTCCTAGAGGTAGAGGAAAAGGTAGGAATACTGTAAGAAAGGGCAAACACAACCCAAGAGGAAGAGGTGGAAGACTCACCTATCAACAAGCTGTGGTTATACCACATGAACAAAATCTCTCCAAGTGATTTATGATATTTAAGTCTTTATATTGGAATATTAGAAACAACAACTCTAGTGGTGCTTTTGATAGACTCAAGCAAATTATCCAACTTCAAAATATTCTTTTTATTGCTATTAGTGAACCTTTTCACAAAGCGGACCAACTCGATAAGCTCAGGGCTATGGTAATGCTTATGCCAATATCAATAGTCAAATTTGAATTTTCTGGAATAATGATTTGAACTGTAGGGTGGTGGAGTAATCTTATCAATAGGTTACTTGTATCATTGACTGAATGGGAACAAACATCCTTGTTATTTCAGTTTATGCAAAGTGTGATGCTGGTTTGAGAGAACAACTATGGGGTAACCTAATGGATATCTCTCAGATTTATAAGCTGCCTTGGTATATTGCTAGTGACTTTAATTGTATTATTGACCAAGTGAAAAACATGGTGGTTACCTACACAGAATGTCTAAAAGCATGCATATGCTACATTTTATCATAGATTACGATCTTGTTGTCCCAAGCTTCTCAGGTTCACAATTTACCTGGTGCAATGGGTGG